CACCATGGCAATTATTTGTGGTCAGTGCTCATATGTCTCGCCATATTGAATATGAAGCCCAACGAAGTCGGTCAAGCATGCCATTCAAGGCACAGCAGGAGTGCGCGTGTGTGCGCGTGTGTGTGCGTGCGTGTGGCATGTAATGTTGCCCCTGGGGTGTGCGTAACTTTTATTTTATGGCCACTGATGATGAGGGCGCTGTGGGAGCAACAAAAACGATTGAATAAAGAAATCCAGGCGCACGCAACGCCCCGATGTATGCTGGCAAATAAAAATCTCAAGTTAGCGACACCAAATGAACGGCTCTGCCCACACACACACACCAGCACTCACACCAACACACACGACACGCACACCTACACAGAAAAGTCCTGGAAATTTATAGGCACGCGTTTGCCATTGATGTGGGGCTGTTTTCCATTGGGGCCTGCAGCCAGCCAACTGGCGTAATGTTACGTTACGCTATTCTAACGTACAGATACACCCCCGCTGCTTGCGAATGATTGCGGCGGCGAAAAGGCGAAATCTTTAGCAACGATTTCCCTAAATACTGCCAAATTTCCGGCATATTACAATATCAGGATAACAATAACAACAACAACAACAACAACAGCAGCAGCAGCACCGAATAACGGTAACAATGTTTGCAAGCGGCAAAATGAAATCACGCGAAATTTTTACATTGCGTCTTGACTGTTGCCTTGCGGCTGACTGCATCATACAATGGGCGGCATAGGCCAAAAACTGAGCAAAAAATGATCTTAAGAGAAAAATGCATATACGATTCAGTTATTTATTATATATAAAAAGTATATAGTATAGTGAATATGCTATTGATTCCATAGATGAGCAGCCAACCATATCATTTTGTCTTGAAATCAATTTCAAAATTGAAGCAATTATTTAAAATTTTTTTTTTTTTATTATTATATATTTTTTTTTAAATTCCTATTTAAAGTTAATGTAAAACATTTTTTTTTTTTTATAAAATTTTAACAAAAATATAAATATAAAAATATACATATATGTGTATGTAAAAAATGTTACGATCGAATTCTATTTTTTTTTTTATATTATTTTTATTGATTTTTTTTTTTTTTTGAATTTAACTTTATTTTTTTTTTTGCTATATTCTGAAGTCTGTCCATCCATTACAAATTCTATTATGCACAAATATGTTTTATTTTACATGTAAATCACTTTAATCTCATTTCCTCAGTAATATATTAAGTAAATTTTTCCCAATTTTTTTGCTAAGTTCAATGTGAATTACTTTAAGGTTTTATATTTAAAATTTAAGTTTTTATAAACTATATTAAGACGATTTGAGAGCTGCTTTGGCCAATCACAAAAACAAAAAGAAGAGAGACAGTAATTGATATTTGTAGTTGCTTACACAGAGCCTTAAAGCCCACAACTTAAATATTCTTGGTATTTGGCTCTTCGGTCCATTGTCGATGCGAAGCGGAACATATTACGCGTTTAATGTGGCCGCGCACTTGCCAAGAACTTCCCCGGCATTGTGTGATTCTTGTAAACTTTTGTGAAGAGCGAAAGATGTGGAACGTATTACATGGCTGGGCCAACTCCGGACGCGTGATGGTGGGGCGGCAGCAGGAGCAGGATCGGGAGCAGGAGTTGGAGTTCTGTGTGTGAGCCGGAAACGAGCTACAAAACTTTCACCTCGGGCGGTGTTCAGCTGTTGTTGTTGCTGTTGCTGTTGCTTTAGCTGCGGTTGCCGTGGCTGTAAAAAGTATGAAATTTCTAAAGGAAACTGCCATAAAAAAAAACGAGAAGAAGAAGAGGAGAGAAAAAAACAGAAATGGGAAAAATATGCGCGCACGCACACACAAACTGACAGATGGCATGGACATCGCACTGGTGGCTGCGGCATATGGCGGTGCTTGAGCACGAACGTGGGCGCCGGCCACGCCCCGCTGCGGCAGTCAGTGTCGCAGGAAAAGGTCGCGCGGTCGAGATCAAAATGATTTTCAATTTAACGCATTTACGTGCGGCCATTTGTCTGCCTTTGCCTACGCAATTTCAATGAAATTCACGTTGCCAAATGGAAATATCCACTCCCATGTCCACTCCCATATCCACTACAGTTGACCGGTGTCCGGTGTCCGGTGTCCGGCAAGCGATGGCAATTACTTTGCAATTACAACAAATTCGCGTGTATTTTCTTATCGGCCGGCGCCTGAAAGTATGCAGGGGAAAGGAAAAGCCCTCTGCCTCAGTGGAAAGTTGAAATTGAAAAGCGTTTGGGCAAATAAAAAGCAAATTTGCGAATAATTTACAGAAATGCCTCTCAGCATGTGAACGCATTAAATTTATGTATGAGTGTGGGTGTGCGTGTGTGTGTGCGTGTGTGTGTGTGTGTGTGTGTGTGTGTGTGTGTGTGTGTGTG